TTATACCTCCTCTGGTAAATTGTCTTTTAATACATCATACATAGATAACCACCACCATTCTTCCGGATATTTTTGGCTCTCTGAATCCATGAAATATAAATGTCTGATAATAAAGTACTTCTCCACAAATACCCAGGAGAAATGTGGCAGACAGGCCGAGCGGTGGAGATTAATTCCCCGTCCTCAGGTGCACCGACTCTCACAAATGAATCAGTGTCACACAAATTCCTGGAAGATCAGCGGCGGCCGCTGCTGTTGCCTCAGCAGAACACTCGGGGAGCTCGTTCTTGGGCTTCCTGTGCATAACATTTATGTATCGGTAACGCGGCGTGTCAACAGCTTGAGGTGATGACGGCCGTGGGGCTCTCCAGCTGCTCCACAGCCTGCTGCCTGTTGAGCCTCCTGCCTCCCACCGCCTTCCTCTGATTCCTCCCAGCTGGGCCCGGGCCGCCGTTCCCTCCGGGGACCTCTGCGTGTCTGCACACTCACACCTGTTGACGCTAGTTTCACGTCTTTTCGGCACGGGACATATTACAGATCAAATTCTTCAATGTATTCTATTGAGATATTCCGATTACAGATCCTGAATCAACATAAATCACTTTTCACAAGGAGTTTCAAATGTGCGTGATATTGTAGCGACTGTGGATTGTTTTGGGTCTAACCACTGAGTGATGTCTGCTTTTTTTAACCCTCCAACTAAGCATTTGGGTGTTAGGCTGAAAAGCTCAACATATGTTTGAGTTAAGAAAATAACTAATAGGTGTATCATCTTAACAATTTATCACCTGTGCAGTTGTCAAAGCTAAGAAAATGATAAAAATTCTGCCCTCGCCTGTGATCAGGAGCTGCGGCTTGTGACAAAACCAATAGGTGTGTAAACAAGTGGCTGAAATGACCCCCTGTGAAAATGTGGCTGGTCTGCCTTCGTTGGAACACAGCGAGGAGTTCAGGAGTTCAGTTTGGAGTTACGGCTCCTCCACAACAGGAGAAGGACGAGGGCACTGCAGGATTATCTCTGCTACAAAATGTTGTTCTGCTCATCTTCTCTATTGAGGAATGAACTGTGAAAGCTTACATTTTTGTATATTTTGTACATTTTTTAGATTTCATTTTTACTTTCTGTAGTCACAAAGTTAGACTAACTGTTATTCATTCGATTAAAAACATTGTGTAATTATCTTGAAGGATACTGGAGCAAAATTAAAATATATCGAGTACTAAAGTAATTGAAAAGTAAAAGTGTTGACCTTTTAGTAAAGATGTTCTAGAAATACAACTAACAATCATCTTTGTGTCTTTCCATATTTTATTTCTATTTAAGGAGAGCATTTCATTCTGGTGGAGGTGGAGTTACTCATCTCCAGTAGCTTTTCATGGACTTTACAAATAAAGTCCATAACAGTTTGCAAAGGCAGAAAGAGACAATTAAAAATGATGAAGAGTATTAAGAGATATGCTGAAGCGATTTTGTTAGCAATGTTTGCCCTTATTGTAACCTTAGATGGATTGCAGGAGCTGCACGTGCTTTCCCAGGAAAAAAAAATCAAAAGCTCTGCGCTGCCTTCACAAAGCCAGCTGTTTATGGGCTGAGCAGAGCTTCATGGAAACAAAGACACATAAAGGCAACTGGGCTGCTACTGTTCCAGTGTATAGAGCGTCCCTCACAAGCTGTAAATGTGACGCTGTGGGTTCCCTTTGTTTTCAGTCTTAAACAAATTACATGCACTTAAGTGTTGAGAGATTAATTGACCACGATAGACGCACACGAAGAGCCAGAAATACTACGGATGTGCAGATATCTGCACAGCTGAGTGTTGGGCTACTTCACTACACACTCAGGGTGTCATCTTATGGCCAGGCTTTCAGGCTGAATCTTTTAGGAGCAGATAAAACTGTCCTGGTATCCACCGGGACTCCAGCATCTTCCCTGCAGAAGCGCCCCCCCGGCTGCAGATATCCAGCTCTGTTTAGTTCTGCGATAAAGCGTTTGACATCTCGGTAAACTCAGGACCGTCTGGACCCGTTAGGCTCATTACAATCCTCTGAACTGTGGCCCAGCTTCATTTCTTGTTGTTTTTTTTCAGTTTCGTGGCTGCAGTTTTCTTATTAAATCAAAGTCCACGAGTATTCCTGTTTCATAATTCATGATCAAAATCCAAATTGTCAAAAGCAGACTAGAATTGTTCTTTTCCTGTATAAACATGGCTGACAGTACACAACCGTTTGCACATATAAAGGGCTGATTCATAGAAAGCTTCGATATTTGGAAAACTGAGCAGAGGTCACACACACAAAAGGTACAGCTTATTGCTGTTGTAAAAACCCAGTTTCAGTCTCAGCTTTTTCACTAATTGAAGCACGTGCGCTTTAAAAGTGAGGAAGTCACCAATTAAGATACCAAAGTATCTGGACTCGCATCCAGGGTATCCACAGAAGTGCTAGAGTTGATAAAAATCCCAAGATTTGTCTTAGAAGCATTCGGAACAAGCTTTAGCTGAAGAAGATTACCCTAAAACGCATACAACCAACCTGTGAGTGTTTCATGAGCAGTTCAAGAGAGGATGCACAATAAATGGCTGTCATCAACATAAAAAAGCAAACTTTCAAAGGCTCTCTGCTAAGCTGTCATACATGGCTCAGCACAATTTGAGGTGCATGGGCATGTGTGGAGCTGGGACCTGCTTCAGGCTCCCGCTGACCCTTAATTGGAGTTAGCGGGAACAGAAAACGGATGGTGTTTCATCCCTCAACTGGAGGTCTCTAAAGTATATGTGGGGTTAATCAATTGCTGGGGCTATTTTTTCAATGATTAGTTTTTAAAAATGAGTGGCTGGGCTTTGCCATATCTTGGAAACCAGGTACATTATTTGGTGTTGCATGTATCTGATCCTTTTGTTGGCTGTGTGTGTGTGTGTGTGTGGGAGAGACAGAGTCTCTGTATGTTCATGGAAACTGTGTCTATGTAAGAGAAGGTACTCTGAACTTCACCTGGGACAGAATTCATCTGAGGCTTTCCCTCTTGTTCCACAGGTGTGCGCTCATCCTCCCAAAGCGCCATTCCAGTTTGCAGCTGCACGTCATCCAAACAGATATACAGGCTGATGTTGCATTTTTGTACCTTACCGGCAAATAACCGGCTCCTTTTATTATTCCAGCTCACTAATCTCCATACTCTGTGAAGCACTTCATTTTGTTTGCCCCCCCCCCCCCCCCCCC